GGCATAGAGCTGGGGATCTAGGGAATAGGGTCAGTTTAAATAGCATCTGGTGACAATTTGTTCTCTAAATAGCAAAGATGTAATAACACAAGTTAATGCTGAATTAAAGTAAATAGAGTCAAACTCTAAACCAATTTGATTTGCAACTTGGAATAAAAGCAACATGTCTTGATTTAAATGTCAGGCCCACTGCTGAGTGATGATTTAATAACTTTTATGAGGAATCTTGTCATAGCAAATTCAACACTGGAATAGAATGACTCACGATAGTGTGTTAGAAATGATAAAGAAGAGCACAAAAAGGAACAGGCTTATCTTGGAGTTCATCCAGAATCTTTGCATAAAGCTAATTTGTAGTTAGGACCTCTTCTTTCCCCTTATCCTGTCATCCAATCTTTCTCTTCACAGATACACACACACACAAACACACACACATATATAGAGACAATCTCCAGATGCAATGTCAGCTTGCTGCAGTATTTTCTGAAGACACAGACCCTTGAACAATTATAGCATGGAGTCTTGGAGTTGATGCATTCAATCTGAAAGGCAAGGCAGCAGAAAGCATGGCTATTTCTGAAAAGGATCTCAAGAACTTATCTTGTCCTATTTCTCTGTCTTTAGATAGACACTTAACTATTTTATCCCATTTTAAGGGTGAGATAGTTGAGTTCCAGTGAGGGTTAAGAGATTTCTTCAAAGATTTCAGTCTTCTGACTCCCAGGGAATCAATACTTCCTCCTCAATCCTTATGGGATCTCTCTCTTAGACCTTACCCAACTTTCCTGGGTACTAGCGTACTAGAATGCTCAAGTCTGTCATGCCCCAGTTCCAGCAAGCTTCCCAGGTCAATAAGGAACAACACATAGTTGTTCTTAAGGGAGAAGATTCGTTTCTGTCTTGCTAAACTTTCAGATGTTTCTGAAATGTGTTCTACTTTCTCACTTATATAACTTTGCTCATAACAACCACCCTCACTACCTAGAATTCCCACTAAATTGAAACACTATCTCCTCTATAAAACCTTACCTAAGCCTGAATTCTCTCAGCTACAAATAGTTTATTTTTCCCTGGATATCTCTGTGGATTTTTACTCATTTGCCTCTTAAAGCATTTATCACATTCTTAGTAGAATGGAAAATTTGAATTGGAAAGGACTTTTATAAATCTCTCAGTAAAATTACCTTCACTTAAACAAAGGAGATTGAGACCCCAAAAGGTGAAGTGATTAGTTAAAGGCATTATATTTTTCCATAAAATTTGGACCTTACTTGTTCTCTTGGCTTGATTCTCCTGGCATAGTTGAAATAAATGAACATGGACTTTCAGTCCTGGCATTCAAATCTCAACTCTGACACTTATAAGTTGGCAAAGTAATTTACTTCTCTGAGACTCAGTTTCCTCAACTCTAAATAGAAATATTCATGGCTGTTGTGAGAAGCAAATCAGATGGTGTTTTTAAAATATCTGGCACATAGTTGGTACTTAATAAACATTTGTCAAATGAGTAGAAGGATTAATAGTACTTCAAGGAATATGATTTCAGGATTGGTGATTGTTCATGAGAATTCACTGAAAGGTGATTGGAAATAAAGTGTGGTAGTTCATTGCCCCTGCTCCTTAATTTTGCAGGTTTCCACAGAAAATACAAGTTCTTCTATAGGCCACCAGTTTCCAAGCTTTTTGTGGAGTAGATGAGTACTGACAGAAGCTCTCACCTGGAAATGTGAATTTTTTCCCTTTTACAGTGCTAGTGATGTAACCTCTGTATTCCCTTAAGCAGACAACAGGTAGGGCCGTGGGAAGAAGGTTGGATTAAAGATATATTTCCTCTATTTCTTCTTGGATTCTTGTGTGGTAGCAACCTGGGGCTTAGATGCTATTCAGTGGCATATTAGAAATCTCTGTGAGGAAGTGTACTTGGAGTGGCAATGAGAGCACTTTGGTGTTGACTCAGTCCAGCGATACCTGGATAATTGCAATAAGGTTTATTGAGATCTTTCTACCCAGCCTTTTACTCTGGAGCTGCCCATTCTGTCAGTTTTCTTCCTGCCTAGGTCTTTGGGGGTAATGGCATGCTTTGCAGTTATTCCTTTCATTTACGGATACGAGTCTTTCCCTGGTCCCAGAGTGCATGTACCTAATAGGAATATCACTGCTACTCTAAAGGAGGGATGACCTGTTAAGTTACAGAAGAAAAAGAATAAGACTTCCAATGCCTTGTCTAGACTATATTGGGAAAATACCAGAGAGGAGGAAGTTGCCCGACAGTGGGCCCACCCCAGAGCTGGCTCCTGTCTACTCTGCCATATAAGCACAGGAGATTTTGGTTGGAAGGACTAGGGAAGCAGCTCAGGGGAATCTATTACAAATTGATTTAGGAGCCCCCTCTTTAGGGCTTATAGGTCAAGAGTCCTATAAGAAGAAAATGGCAGTAGAGGGCACCAGATTCAGAGTAATGATACTTGATCTGTATCCCTGCCTCTACCTCTCTACCTGTCTTCTTCCAAGATCATTCCTAGGACTGTCAACTGAGCCTCAAATTCCTGTCTGTGTAGTAGATGCAGTAAAGTCTGCAGCCTTCCTCCAAAGGATGGCAGAAGTTAAAGACTTGCCCATGTCTAGAGTTTTCAATTCTGTGAAACCCAAATCATTATATAAAACCTCCTACTTTTAATGAGTGAATGAATGTGTGTCTAAGGGGAGGTGCAACAAGGTGGAGGTTGCTTGCCTGAATATGATATTCATTAATTTACTCTTCCCAGACTTCCACCATTATTATTCATGTTGAAGCCACGTTGTAGATAGTTAAATCCTTTTTTTAAGAAGACTTCTCTTTAAAATTAAACCTGTCTCTCTTAAGATTGCATTGCTTCTAGAGCTACTGTACTCTGACTTTCATCATCATATTGGGCAAGGCCATGGGACATCAGGAAGTTATGACCGTTACAGTCTATAGATAAAGTACTATCTCCTCTGAACTAAGATTTTACACTTGCTATAGGAGGGGATAAGGGATTCACTCATTCATTCAAGTACAAAAGGAAAAGTACACAGTGCTAATGAGGGCAACTGATGAGGGGATTTGACTTGGGGAGGTCATAGAAGTCTTCATTGAGGAATTAATGATTGAGGTGATCTCTGAAAAATTATTGAACATTGACTAGGCAAAGAGAATGGTGGAAAGTGTGTGTATACAGGTGCATATGAACTAAGTATATTAGGCAGAAGGAACAGAATGTGCATAAGCCTTATGATGGGAATGACTATGGCAAATTACAGAAAGAAATATTATGCTACTATATCTGGTTTTATAACTGTAATTCAAAATTTAAACCATAAATTTGGGTGTTGAGGGTTGAAAATGCCAGTATACCCATGTTCAAAGTATTGTTAAGCTAAATGGTGCATACTGAGCACTCATTATTGACAGAGCACAGGAAGCATTATCAAGAAATATAAAAATACATCTGCACTGTTGAGTCAATAATCTAGTAGGGGGTAAAGTGCAGATGAAAAATATGTGATATACAAATCTTCCTCTCAATGTTTTATCCAAAATGTACAGTCATATAAAGGTGTACAGACAAATTCCTAGAGAGCTAATTGGTTGAGGTGACTTTAGCCCACTGAAGTTAATCTGAGAAGGCTTCCTGGAAATGGGGAGAGGGTTGGATTGAAGATATAGTTGCTGTGTAATGCTCTGAGAAAGATATGAATTGGTGATGATATGAATCCTTCCTTCCAGAAAGGAAGATGTTTCTGGCAGGAAAGACAGCATGAATGATGACATAGTGGTAGAAAGACTATTTCTGAGGTGGAAAATTTGAGATAAATTAGCCTGGACTGAATAGAAAATCAAAGCAGCCTAACTTGGACCCATTTTAGATTCTTTATATGGTATGCTAAGCAGTCAATTAAAAGAAGAAAAAATAAAGCTCACTGGGCACCATGTGAACAGAAATAATTCATTATTAAAAAATTATTACAAAGATCAGCCTTGACATCCGTAACTGACTGATTGTAGTTGAGACTAAGTTTGTGCAAGACTGTAAGGAAGATGAAGGTTGCTGACTACCTCTTTTCCCAGAACTCCTCTGTAATTTTGTATCACTGGACATCTATCTCAATTTCTAGAATTCTGTTTGCTTAAGCACTGGATTTTCTCGCAGTTAGTTGTTACTCTGATCCCTGGGAAAATAATAGCTCTCTTTCTTTTTCTCGGCATTGACATTTTCCAAGGGAAAATTCTCTGAGGAAAATTTTTCTGAAAAAAACACAAATATTTCACATGAAAGACTACATCTGATAGAGTGGCAGGTAGTAGGGTGAATTTTTTGAGCAGATGACCTTTTCCATTACTCTTTAAACTGAAACTACCCCCTTAGAAGTTTGGCCTCGGTTCCAATGCATATTTCCTCTCTAAATGTTGAAAGGTTAGGTTAGGTTAGAGTCATGGAGTAAGGGGCAAGGGATATAGTTTTGCTTGTCAGAACTCCTGATGATGAAGGATACAGTCCTTTGAAAATAGTCCATGTACTGTAGCATATGAGTGTGGTAAAATGTGTGGAGTGCTAGAGTCAATATGAGCCAGGGTTTATATCCTGACTCTACCACTTCCTAGCTGTGTGATTTTTCACTATTAACTTAACCTGTGCCTTGGTTGCTTCATCTTGTACATACAAAACAAGGATAATAAGAGTATCTATCTCATATTGTTACTATAATGATCAATGTATGTATTTCTAAGGACTTTATCATAGTTCTTGACATGAACAAGTTGTTCTTGTCATCATTGTCATTAGGATAACCACCACTTACACCACCCCCAGGTTCATACTGTAACAGAGTAAAAACTTATAACCTCTTGCTAAAGCAAATACCAGCCATCAGCAAGGGAGGAAAGGAGAACACAGGAAATCCAGTCGCATTCACTGCTTCCTACTCTCACTTTAGCCTTCATGTGTACAACCCTCATGTCGCTGTCCCTGTTTCTACAGGTACCTGTCGCCTCGGCTGGGGTTATTACTGTGCTGGAGGTGGAGCAGCTGCAGCCATGTTGATTTGTACCTGGCTTTCTTGCTTTGCTGTAAGAAACCCCAAGCCTGTCATGTTGGTGGAGAGTATCATGAGGAACACCAATTCTTATAGTGTGGAGCTTGACCACTGCCTCAAACTTTAAGCATTGGCAGAAGATTGGAGAGAGTGAGAAAGAGGAGGAAATTGAGCTTTAAAAATAGGTACTAAGACTAGGCCAATTGCCATCCACCTGTCAGCAATGTAGCCTAGTGTTACATGCTGTTTAACTCACTAGTCATTCATTTTTAGTTTTCCTTAAGCCAATGGGTCAATGGCTACTTACAAAATCCATCAAGAACAATAATTCTCTCAGATGTTTACCTATCTGGTGAGTACCCAATAGCCCCCATGTCCCAAAGTACGCCTTTATGCAAAATAAGGAGAAGATCCTCATTCGAAAGATAACTGCACAATCAAGCAGTTCCATAGCTCCTGTTTGCCACTTAATCCAAAGCTTTAAGGCTGGGTAAGAACACTTATGCAGGGAGGGACCAGGAGATGGGCAGGGCTGGTTCCTACCATTCCATTCCTATGGCCCTCTTTCTGGTATTTATTGCCATCTCCAAATATCTATGGAGTGCCACTGCTCAATTTTTTGTGACTTTCTTGGGACTGTATTTGACTATTCCTCTTTTCTCCTGCTTCTTTTCCTTTCCAGTTGTGGGGAAAGTTGTGGGGGGGGGGAGTCCTAGTAAGGAAAACACTAACCAAGGATACTTGCTTACAGTCTGAGACCCCTTCCTCCATGTACTTTAGAATATTCATAAGAGTTCATTTGGTGTTCAGGCTGGGCGGCTGGCATTAAATATAGTGACAAGTATTCCCTAGTCCTTTATTGATAAAGGTTGATTAAATGTTCTGAGCAGATAATGCATTTATTGTGCACTCAATAAACATGATTTTATGATGATGACAAGGATGTTTCTGCTGGCTTCTTATTGAAATTTCTATCACAATTAACTTTTATTAGCTAGGAAATAGTCAGCAGCCTTTTGCCCCTATAGTAATTCCAAACATGATATAAGTTTCTCCACTTGTCTCAAAAACTGCTTGTCAATTGCTTTTCCCTCTATCTGGGGTGAGTTAAACATGAAAGAATACAACCCTGATGTCACTAAGAGCTGATGTACTTTTGGGCCTGCCCTTCAGCCCATCTGTGCTTGAGGCTGATAACTGGTTAAGAAGAACTTGGTGTCTCCCAGGGACAGAATTTGTTTTCCCTCCATCCAATTAATTCAAGCCAGCTCTTTTGTTCTGTAACCACAGCTTTGGGGACTAGGGAGGGCCTATGACTCAAAAGGCCAGCTCATCTGTTTTTATTTTTAATTACTCCAGAGTGTTTAGGTACAGCCCTGCCTGGAAGGAGAAAAATGGCATAAACTGGCCTCATTATTTATATGCTATCCCAAGAAGGGTCAGCGTCCTTATATTGACCTTACATAGGTAAGTGAATTCAAGCATATACTTCATTCATGAGCTCATTCATATTCATTTAGCTACTTATTTCTTGAGTATTCTACTATATATCATATTCTTGAATATTCTACTATATATCATTTCTTGAGTATTCTACTATATATCATATTCTGTGCTAAGTACTAGGGGTGAAAGGATGGAGACACTATTTCTCACCCTGAAAGGGATAGTGTGGTTGGATATTGAAAGATATATAAATAAATAATTGCCTAACAGTATATTAAGTGCTAGTAAGTATGGAAGAGGGGGCTAAAAGATCAGACAGAGGAGCTGTTAAACCAAATTAGAATGAAGGAGCTTATTGGAAAACTTCCTAGGAAAGATGATGCCTAAGATAAGTCTTAATAGGGGGAGCTAGTCAGCAAAGGCAAGCATGTGCTAGACAAGGGAACAAGGAAAGCAGTAGCATGGAGACATGAAAGAACATGACATCATCACAGGAACAATAATTAGGGGTGTAAAAAGGGAGGTGGCAAACGCTGAAGCTGAAAAAAGAAGTAGTAGCCAGACCCTGTGGTACCTTCTACATACATCAGGATAAGAAGTTTTAGATTTTATCATAAAGGGAGGCCATTGAAAAGGAAGTGACATGAAAATATTTCTTATTTTCAAAGACCAGTTTGACTAAAGTGAGGAGAATAAAAGAGAATAAAGAGAGACTAGAGATACTTAGATAATCTAGATGCAAGTAGATCAAGTCCTAAACTAAGAGAGTGACTGTGGTGCTGCAGCAAATGGGTGGATTAGAAAAAATATATATATTTAGGAAGTAGATCCCATAGCACTTACTGTCTAATAAATATGTGTAGGTAAGATCAAGTGAAAATGTTGAGATGATCATCCTAAAATGTGAGTGGTTCCTATCACTAATATACAAATCTGATCAAATTTGATTATCGCTTCCTTTGCATTTGTTATTCCTCTAGCAGATATAAAAGAATTGATGATCAAATTCATGTCAAGTATTATCTTCTCTATGGAACCGGATTAAGTGTTTAAGGTAAAACATCTTGAGTATATCACAGTGAAGGAAGCGATGTATTGGCTTTGCAACATCCTCTTTCTCCAAGAAAGATGGCTAAGAACACGTGAAATAGAAATAGGATTGACTCAAACCTCATTTTTATTGTGTAGATACAATAATGCAACTTTAATTTAGGGGAGCCCAATGTATGGAGACGATGTCAAACATTTGAGAAAAGGCAGATCACTCTCCTTATAAAAAGCAGTTGGATCAGATATTCTCTCTTCTCAGACTAGGGAACCTTCTGGAATTCTGCGAGATAGAATTTTTGGAAGTGATGTAAGTGTTTAAGTCAGTCTTGGAGGGAAACAGATGGCATACTCAAGGGGTTTTGCTGAGATGAGCTTAATGAAGGGACTATTTAGGGTTGTTCAGGTAGGATTAAAAGAACCTATAAGTGATGGGGAGGCAGAGATTATGAAAGGTGGAGAGCTGTTGCCACCTATAAGACTGAAGGGGTAAGGGGAAAGCCGTGTTACTGAAACCCAGCAAGAACTGTAGCAGTGCAAGAAGAGCTGCCTATTAGGAGCTGTGGCTTTAGGAAGCATGATGTGATCTCTGCCTAAATGCAACATAGGTGGGAGGGAGACAAGGTCATAAAATCTATATCTCAATCTTTTCCCACTCTCTGCCAGTGCCTACCATTAGCCAGACTCAGCCAGGCACCAGCTGGCGAGGAAGCCTGTTGTTACAGTCCATTGATACCAGTTTCCTTTGGCACAGAGTATGGCAGAGAATGGTCCTTGGGAGTATGAGGGGCAAAGTGGAAAATAATAGCTCAGGGAGTGTTCTTAGCTCCTGATGCTACTATTCCCTTACACACTGTTTCCCAGGAAGTCATTGTTTTGCTACTCATCATGGCCCAGATATCTGAACATCCCGTGAACTAGTTGTACCCTAGAGAGGAGACTGAGCAGGAAGGGGTTAATTTGAAAAAAATGTAAATGACTGTCACCTTGTAAAAGGGAATAGTTAGTTGGAATGTTTTCTCTCCTTTTCTTTGGAAAGGGGATAAGATTTAAGAAGGATTTTTTTTTTTTCTCTGTAGGAACCAGGCCTGCAGGGGCCTATATTCAAAGAGGGATCCAGCCCTTTGTTCAATATGAATTTAAATTCTTCCCTGCCTGTGTTTGGTTTCTTTCTTGACAAGGGTTTTTTGCATAGATATCTGACTAGCCTGGGCTGTTTCCCCCTGTGACCTGAAACAGGCTCCTGAAAGCTAAACTTACTTCCTATGGCTGCTGTTGAGCAGAGAGGGAGGAGAGCCCACAGGTCAGGTGGAGGGCTGAACAAGCGAAGTGAGGTTCTCATAGACTGGATTGTCCTATGCCTGGCTGACTGCCATGCTCCCTGTGTATACATATATGAAATGCCTCAACATGGGTCTTTTCTGACTCTTGAAACCACTTAGATGTTGTGTGTGTGGTGGGGGGCGGTGACAGAAGTGGGAGGCTATTCACTTCAGCTAGCTCACAATCAACTTAGTATTTCTTGAGAGTCTATATAGCAGAGAATGCCAGATAGGCAGCCACTGCCCAATTGACATGCCTTTGTGTCTATAGAGATACAATTTTCTACACCTGGGATGGCCTTTAGTGTACTGCAGGTGTTAAGTCACTCAAGTCTGTCTTGAGTGATACCCTCTTCCTAATGTCATTCATCATCATCCATACTCCCAGGGGAGTAAATACATCCATTCATTTATAGCTTCTGCTGACTTCCAGGCAGTGGGTTCCCACCTTGCAGGAGCATATGCCCTGAACAAAGACAGACAGGCTCTGGCCTCTGGGAAAGGGTGTTCTGGCTTCTGCAAAAGTATGTGTCAACAGATTTGGGCTGAAGGCAGGGAAACTCTGAGAGGAAGAGCAGATGAGGAAGCTGCTGGCAAGCAGAGACTTTATATACCATTCAATAAATTGGACTAAGAGGGAGAAATTAGCCCCTTCAGAATGTAATAAGGACACTTTCTTCAATATGGCATTCCCTCTTGGAAGAAATACTAATATGAAGAAGCTTTAGGACTATATTTGGTCCCAAGGCAACCTGTCAGTGGGGGGAAAAAAGGAAGTTTTAAGAAAACTAATAGTGAATGCATTTTGTAAAAGATAGAAGGCATTCCACTTGGAGGCTTGAACGGGAAGGTATGCTATTTCTAGAACTCACAATCAAGCTGTAACCTGGTCTAGTAAATTATTCTTAGCATACAGGAAGCAGATTGCTTCCAAGCAGTAATCTCTGCTCTGTATTCATGGCTTAAAAGAATTTTCTGAGCTGGCGGGGTGGGGTGCTGAAGTTCAAGGATATTTATTACTGGCCTCTCTTTCAGATGTAGAGAGATGCATTTTCAGCTTCAATTTTCATTTTGTCTACTTATAAGATTAAATTCTCCCAGCGTTGATCTCTTTTCTAAACACATTGAACCCCCACTGAGTCCTCAAAGCTAACAGTAAATAAACAGTTGCTATGTGTGCACACAAATGATTTATATTTTCATTATACAGAGCTGCTGATATGCTGGGAAGCAAAAGTATGGAGAGATAAAATGTTTGGTTTTGACATCAGCACTGTATCCTGCTCCTTCCTCACTCTCTAGAAAACAGGCCCTCAGAGAACAGTACTTGGAGATGGGCATCTAAGCCAGCCGGCATTCATGAGGGAAACCTTGATGTTGGCTTCCTTTTATCTAGTGTCTCTACTTTCTTAATAGGTGGTAACAACTACAGAAAAGAAATAAAGGTAGGATGATCAAGGGGAATAAAGAAGGGTAGACAGAGAAGTAAATTTTGAATCATTCCAGAGACACATTGCCTCCTCTCCCTGTGGCCTATTAAAATCTCATTTGGGGAACTTTAAATTTCTTTCCAAGATACTTTTCTGTAT